CTGATTTATCAATGTTTTAATCTTGGCCTCGGCTTTATTTATGGTCTTGAGCAAACCGACAATCTCATTGGTCTTGTGGACCAGCTCATTCTTCATTACTTTTGCGTGCATCGCAAAGGAATGGGCATGCTGGATTGCCTAGAAGAAATGCAAGGAACAAAGTTACTAAAATCTTTAAGTTTGAAGACAAAGAATGAAGAGTACCAAGTGTTAGAGATTTACCTGTACAGAATGCTGAACCATCAAAGCGAAATTTTCATATTCGCTGACCTCGGCCATTTGGTTGAGGTCATTGGGAAGAAGGAGCGTAGTGGAGAGGGCGACGCCGACCTCAATATTAGAGGCATTGTGTCCGACCTTGGCTTCTTTGACTTGGTGGATTTGGATGGTTCAGCCTCGACGGGCCTCTTTTCGGCTGCAAAAGAACTTTTTTCTACCTCAACTATTTTTGAGATCGACAAGGTGTCCTCAGAGTCGATCTGAGTCACCGTTGCCTTTGTTTGGGCCTTCTTCAGCCTCTTTGGCTTCGGTTTGGGCTAGGACTGAGAAGGAGAAGATTACACTGTGACGACATTGGGGATGTCGGCAAGAAGGTCTTCAGCAGCGACCTTTTTTTGCCCCATCTCGTCAGCAGAGATGGCAACAGTAACTTTAGTGCCAAAATGGATTGCTGGAAGTACGATTGGTGGGTTGGTTGGATTATAAGCCGATGCCTCAGTACTTCGGCATCTTTGGCTACGAGTTCTACCTGCGGGGGCAAGAAGTGGAGCTCGACATCGGCGTTGGCGCCGAGAAGGTGGAATCAGTTGTGGAGCAGAAGTTGATGGTTGCTCTGTTGGGTCAGATATGGGGGCTTGATCTGGCCAAGATGACGAAGTTGTAGGAGGAGTTATAGTAGAAGGAGGAGACTTGCTTTTTTTCGGACGTCGGGTAGTACAGACTTGTAAGTTAGGATGTAATTGAGCAGCAGAGGGATTTTCTGCTGGTCAATTGGCAAACCCAACAATTTCTTGAAATCCTTGCTGGGATAGAATGTTTTGCGGAAGTCCTTTAGTGGTTGAGAAAGAACTGCAAAGTATAACAAACAGACGTTAGAACATACAAAGTATCAGAAATAATAAAAGACTTGAAAGCAAATAAAGTGACACTTGGCTCTTACCATTCCCCTCTCTGAACACTGTTCGGCTTAGAGGGTAGAGGTGAAGGTCATTATCTGGTGGGAACTCCCAGTTGCTCGAGACGATGAAATAATCGTCTCCAACACCCTCGTTGGAGTCTGGGAGGTCGGCGATGAGTTTGTATTCTGTGGATCTTGGCTTAAGGTAATAAATATAGCCCTTTTCTGACTTCAGGCCACACATTGTATAACAATATTGGATATCAGCTAAGGTTATCCTAGCGTTTTCTCGCCTAGCTAGGGCAATGATACCGTTAATGACTCGGTAAAAGTTAATGGCTAGCTACATTGGGTTGAGTTTATAATGGTGAAGGACTTCTTGGAAGAGGATGTCAAGAGGGAACCTAAGTCCACACTCTATGAAGGCTACTACTGGGAAGGGCATGGAGTCGTCTTTGGGCATGATGGAGTACTCCTTCCCAGCCAACTTGAGATGAACGTCGGCAGAGATAGAGAACTCTTGCCTAAAGTACTCTAGCTTAGCAGGGGCATCTACCCTCCACCTAAACATATTCATGATGTCGGCTAAGAGGGACAAGGTGTTGGATTTCAGAAGGAAGTGTTTTGTCTGGGTTTGAGTGGACCTCGGCTTAACTCAAAATCAGAAATTGGGGAAAGGGTTTTCAAGATCTAGGAGGAATTCACTTCAATTTTTCCTAAAGATAGGAGTTCTAGAACAAATCCCAAAACCTAAGACTATGAAAACAAGAATTGAAGGCAGGAATCTGGAAAACATAACAAGAAAACAAAGAAGAACAGAAATTCAGACTCAAGAAAACCAGTAGGGGTTCAAGAACATTACATAAAATGTAAACATGCACAAATTGAAGACAGTGGCAATTTACAAAGAACATCGAGTATATGAACAATATGTGAGTGCATGTCTACACCCAGAAACAAATTGCAAGCAAGGAAAAATTTACAACACAGATGAAGATTCAAGAACATGAATAGAATTACAGTAGTAGTGTATAAAGCATAATAAATTTTGAAGTAAGTCAAAAACTGAAAAAATGAGGGAACAACGACTTGCTGAGGAAAATGAGGCCGGTATGAAGTACGCCGGAGTTAGACGGTGGTAGTGGGCGGAGAAGAGCAGCAAATGCTTCGTCGGAAGAGGTGATCGGAACAAGATTCAGAGCTTGGAAAGCTTGAAACAATGGCGGTTTTATTAAGAGAAAGCTTAAGAGAAATCAAAGAGCATAAAGTGAAAAGACGAAGAAAGAGAAGTGTTTTTTTTATCAAAACACGAAAAGGCGGCAAAATCGCAATTAGTGTGCCTAGGATGACGTGTTTGTTAGGTGGCGCACGCAAAAGCGACGCGACTTGATGGCGCGTGTCAGGTACAGTTCAATAGGGAGGAGACGCATGGCGAAAACGGTTGAGTTGTTGTGCGTAACAGCTCATACGCGTGCAGAAACTCTTGGAGTTCTTGATTTAATGAAGCAAAGACCTCAGCTAGGGGAACGATCTCGGTTAAAGAACTTGGAAAACTTGGTTCTTGTTTCTAAGGCAATGACAAAACAGACTACAGGTCTTGGTCATATGGAACCGACGGATGATGACCTCGGTAATGAAGGATAGAGCAAGCTTAGCCGATATGCTATATGGTTGAATGATATAGGTTCCATCACCTCAGTATGCCGAGGTAATAAAACCTATGGGGCAATTGTGGGGGCATATTTTTTGAATAACAACACGTAACCAAGGTGGCATTGAAGTGCCAGCAGAGGTGCCACGTGTCCTGGTCATGACGCCGAGATGATCTCGGCTAGGCCAAGGTTACTTGCGAAGATACCGAAATCCGAGGTGAACGGATAAGAGATAAGAGTCCTAGAATGGGGGAGGACTTCAGCCTGGATAAGGATAAACCTCTTAGGGAGTTTATCTTTATCTATTGGAGAGTCCAGGATGAGCATTGGACCAAAGTCCAAGAGAAACCAGGCTTCTACAGGGATCAGGACAGTACTGACTATAAACGTAAGGCACTTTTGTAGGTTTAAGGTACGCTTTTGTATTCTGACTTGTGAGTTAAGCACAATTGGCTATCTTTGAGAGATATTGATTGCTGACTTGATCGTCGGAGTGCCCCCGGGTGGACGAACCACTGCCGGAGTCTTATCTTTCTGTGACAGGTCGTTCGGGCGCAATCTATTCTGCCAGTGTTCTCCAGCTGAGTACCTGTTTAGCAGTGTGGTCAATAAACAGCACACACAGCAACTATACACCATGAGCACAAAGCCAACTAATAAAAAACATAGCATACGAAGATTTTGGTGATAAAAAACAGAGTACTCTTTAATATTTATTTTTACATTGATGACTACTCTTTAATGTAGTCAACTTGTTCTTCTTCTTCAGTTTTACTCAATAGTCATGCCTACGAAACGTTACCAAAGCAATAACAAAAGAAAAAAAATAAGAACCAAAGTAATAAACTAACCCAGGCATCAGCAAAACAACGAGAAAGGAGGAGAGACAAAAGTAAAAGCAAAAAAATTACTGTAATGAATAGCCGAGCAGCCGAAGTGATATGTCGCAGCCGGAGTGAACAACGGTGAGAGTAGTCAGAGTGATCCACAATCGAAGTAAGCTTTGATGAAGGCAAAACCTAAGAGAGGAAAAAAAAAATCAAGAAGAAGAACAAAGAGGAAGAGAGACATAGAGAGGGGAGGGGAAAAAGAAATGAGATGCAAAAGCTGAGATAGGGAGAGGGAGATAGAGAGGGAAGGTGGGTAGATAGAGGGTATGGGGAAACAGAGGGTAGATACTGAGGGAGAAGAGTGGGAAGACAGACGGTAGATGCTGAGGCAAATCATTTGTATCTTAGGGAGAAGAGTGTTGGGTGGGACATTATTAATCTTAACCATGGATATTTATTAGAATTGATCTAAGCTATTCGAAGGAAATGTGTCTCTCATATATTTTATACATTTTCAAAGACCCTTCTCCCTTATTATTTATATATATATATTTTTTTTTTTTGACATTTGTAATAAAATAAATCATGAATTTTTAATTATTTCAATATAAATCATAATCTTTTTATTGTATTTTAGCTTATAAATTTAATGTATGTATGTATAAAATATTTAATATATATATATATATATATATATATTTGAATTTCATTACTCAAATATTATTTTTTATCAATTTTATTTAAAAAAATAGACAAATAATTTAAAATAAAAACAAATAAAAAATAAAAAATTTATTTTATTATCGGAATCAAGTTTTAAGAATTTTTTTGGAAGACTTACATGTAAATCCTAATAGGCAAACTTATTGTCCAAAAGGTTCTGTGAGAATTAATAGCATTTTTTTATTAAATACTATTAAAAACGTCACTAGTTGTTAATTTTCAGCGGCAGTTTGAAAATTGTCATAAAAAATATCACTAATTATAAATTTTAGCGACAGTTTAAAAAATAGTCATAAAAAGTCACTAATTTTTAACTTCAGTGACAGTTTAAAAATTTGTAACAAAAAAAGTCATTAATTATAAATTTTAATTACAATTTATAAAAATCGTAAAAAAATTATTAATTATCAATTTTTAACAACATATATAAAAAAATATCAAAAAAATTATTTTTGAAAACAATTGTACTAATTTTTTAAATAAAATTTAATTAAAATTAAATCTAATTATTAAAATCTATTAATAATTTACATTTTTTTTATATATTGTTGTAATTTTTCCCTTATTTATTTTTCTTTTTGGGTTGGCACATAGTTTAACCAAACGAAACGAACTGACTCTCTCTTTAACTAGAAAGGAGTGACTCGCTTTTTGGACGCTTTCTCATTGCTTTCTCCTCCTCTTTCTTCTTTCCTCTCTCAGTAGTCCCCCACCCCTACTAGTACAAACAAACAAACAAACCAGCCAAAGCTGCGATACCAATCTCTCTCTCTCTTTACCTCTTTTTTATATATATACACACACGCAAGTAAGACTTACTGTTCTTATATATGTAACTGACAGGCCTCTCTGTTTCTTTGATATTCTGGAATCATTATTACTTCTATTATTCATGCTCTTTTGAAACCCTAACTCGATCAGTCTCTCTCTCTCTCTGTGACTAACTCATACACAAGAATTCGACTCGGTCGAGTCTCCTCCATGGCTAACAACAACCCCTCGGAAAACTCCACCGACGACTTCCTCGAGCAAATTCTCGGCTTTCAAACTTACGCATCCGCCGACACTCATTTGGCGCCAAATGATGCCACTTTGGCTGCAACGCCGCCTCCGATGATGCTTCAGCTCAGCTCCGGCGGCGGCTTTCACAGACCGGTGTTTCCGTTAGGGTTGAGTTTGGACCAGGGGAAGCCAGGGTTCATGAACGAGGCGTCGGGGAGTAGTAAGAGGTTTCTCGAGGATGTTGTTGATGGCCGATCGTCTTCTTCCTCCGTGAAAAATGTTAGTGCTCAAGTCTTTATTTCTTTTCATTTTTCTTTCTCCTCTGTTTGGTTGCCCAGAAAATGTTATTATTTTATTTTCATGTTTTGTTCCACGAAAACGAAATTCGCCAAAATTATGCCGGGTTTCAAGCGGTTAAATATATATATATATATATAATGTGCAACCTGTTGTCCATTTTTACGCGTTCAACTCTTGAGTCTGGTGTAATTGGTGATCCTAATAATTTTTCGTGTAATTGGGGGAGTTTGAAATCTATGTTCTATTGGTCTTTTGACTCAAGAGTTGAATTTGAAAGTTGGATTTGTTTACTCAAATGGTGCTTTTTATTTTAAATTTTCTTAATTTTTTGCCATTTCTCATTGCCATACGTGCAAGTGATTGGTTTCTATGTTTGTTGTTAGTGATATGTTTTAGGAAATATTATTCCGAGGTTTGACTTGATGAGTTGAGAAGTGTACACATAAATACGACAGACAGTAGTGCTTATCATCACTTAATTATTTGATGAAACACACAAATTAATTGCAACTTTGAGTTAGAATTTAGAAAAAGGCCATCATCAACTTTGACTGGTTGAATTTAGAAGTTATTATATGTAAATGGCAGATACCAACAGATATCATCGGCTCTAGAGCAAATAAAACATGGAAAAAGAACAAACACAGTCTATATTAAAAATTATAATATTTGTATATTGAAATTTATCATCAAGAGGACAAGAAATAAGCAGTTCTTTTCCTTTTTGTTTTAACCATGGTCAATCTTATGACTCAGTAATATGAATTTATTTGATCTTTTTTTTTTTTTTTTTCTTTAATAGTTATTTTTCTATAAAATATATGTTTATACGTGTTGGGTGCAATATTTTAATTTGGTGTTATTGCTTTGATATATAGCATACATATTATACAATTGTAGTGCATTTTTTTTTTTTATATTTTAGATGAATATGGTTTTTTCTTTTCATATTTTTATCACGAATATAAAATGAAACTACCTCATTATGTTTTTAGACCAAAGGGAATTGTTGATGAGTGTTTGTTTGGGGTTAAATGGATTGTTCACCTGCAATGTACAATTTCAAACAGTGACATGTGAATGAATGCCTAAAGTGGAGCTTATAAGAGCGTAGTATTTCCAAAGCAAAGGAAATTATTCATATTTGATTATTTGAGAATAAAAAGATAACAAACCAGAGTTTGAATGCTGTGAATTAAGAGGTTTGAAATCCAAAAAATACTTTTTTCCCAAGACTTTTGAAAGACTCTTAAACTGGTTTTGGAGGAAGGAATGATTTAAATAAGGGAAGTAAAGGTCTATAGAGACCTGGTTCACCTTGATAAATTGCTTCTAGTTTTTGGATGTATTCTATTGTATAATTCATTCAGGTTTTAAGGATGATAATAGCGCTTTCATTCTCCAGATTACTTTGTGTCTTTCTTTTTCTTTTGTTGTGATGTTGTGTTTGTTGCTTGAACTCGTTTATATATTTTTATGTACTGTAAACTCTCATAATGAAATTGCCTCTCCTATTCCTATAATTTTATTAATGAACTTGGGGAATATTTTTTTTTCAGGCTTTTCCTGGTCAACCAATGCCTAGCACAGTTGCTGCAGTGCCACATCCACCTGCAATTCGTCCCAGGGTGCGGGCAAGACGAGGACAGGCTACAGATCCACACAGTATTGCTGAGAGGGTAAGCTTGACAGTATGCAAAAAACAACAATTCAGAGATGTTTGTCAGGCTTTCACAAGTGTTTGTATATGACACTGCCACCTGCAAAGCAATAGGAAACACAGTATAACTATTAGAAGACACTTGCATAAAGTCTACCCTAGTCGCTTTCCTTTTCCTTTATTAAAATTGAGCATATGCATATGATGTCAATAAGCTGGGTTGATTTGAACTCAGTTCTTTGATTATGGGGGTTTGCTTGAACAACTGGCACATGTCCATATGAATTGATAAGCCACTATTTTTTAATCTTTTCTTATGGGTGAGGTAAGAGTATTGGAACCTAGGTAGTAATACCCCGAGCAAACACAACATGCAAGTGTACCTAATTTGCATCATGGAGAAGCAGTGAATATGTGGAACTTGTTCTCTACATTAGTCCTCAAAGTTTGTTTCTATACCTCTGCGAATATATTCCCTTATTTTATAACTTGTCAATATTATCCATTCGAATACTTGTAAGACGCTAATAAGTGGCTTCTGTCCCCTCACCTTCCCGACAAGACTTAATTATAGAATCATCTCCATCTAGCTCTAAACATAATCTACCATATTTATAGGTAGTACTGTAGGTATGGCAGTTTGGGGATGCTATGTTTTTTTCTTTTCTTTTCTTCCAATTGCTTTAGCCGACCTCATTTGATGGGACTTGAGGCTTGGTTTGGTTTGGTTTTCTTCCAATTGCTTTAGCTCCTTCATCATCTCCCTATTTTTAGTGGAACATCATCCAACATTTTTGCTTTTTGCACAGTTACGCAGAGAGAGAATAGCTGAAAGGATTAGGGCTTTGCAAGAATTGGTTCCTAATGTCAACAAGGTTGGTGTCTCCTCACTTTTGGAACTTTACAATTTTTGATAATGTTGACACAGTGATTGGGTCCTTAGTTGCTTTCTTGTTTCAATTTGAAGTGAATTTTGAAATCAAAGTCACTTGCTCTCTTTCCCAAATTAATGGATTTATTGGTCCAATGATGTTCTGGATTACAATATACCTAAGCCATGATTCAAATGACTGGTTATTTTCCATTGGTATGGGCCTGAAATATATTCAGTTCCTATACAGTCCATTGTTTTTTTTGTGTATTATTATTATTATTATTATTATTATTATTATTATTATTATTATGTTAGCATAATGAATATTCCATAAATATGTTGGGCTTTAATTTCTCATCCTTCAATCATGATCCCTTATTTGGTCAACCTGTGAAGCAATATTGTGTCCCGACTGTAAAATTCTAGATTCGTATCCTTCCTAATTATTAAATAAAGGACTTTAAGAATTTTTTACAATCTCTTGGGAAGCGTCCTTTTCTTCCTACCACTCACGACATTGGCAATTTTATTCTTTTTTCGTCACAAACCCTTGGATGACTGATGTTAGTTATTACTGTTGTTATTGTCGTTGTTCGGAGACAATATGATGAGTTCATTGGCTTATGCTTTAATGAACAGTGTATATTGTCTTTGGAAATATCTATTGCACCCATCTCAGTGTTGTGACGTGCTAAATGACAAACTGGTGCATACGGACTGTATTCTTGCCAACTCCAAGTGAAAGCAGTTGGTTCGAGTAATAATCAAATCTTTTACAAGGATTTAACAGTCTTACAAGAGTGTATTTATCCCAAAAAAAAAAAAGTCTTACAAGTGTGTGGACATATTATGGACATAAGTGAAATAGCTCCAAATTCTTTGAGTGTGAGGTGATGTTGTTTAGAGTTGCAACAGTTTTAGAACCTCCCGTAGAATCAAGGTACCCAATCTTGCCCTATCCTGATTCCACCCACCTCAAATTACATGAAGACCCAACTAGTTACTGATCCCAAAACTAATTATCTTTCTGTGACTGAATATTTCAGTGGCTATATTACTTCTGCTGCAGCACCCACTATTTTAGATTGCCCTTATGAACTTGAAATAGCTGTAGATAGTGCCTTGATTTCTATTTGTACTGGAAGGGGTGATTTCTCTAACCGCATGGAGGAAGAGACCTTTTGAGATATTTCATTAAACTGGTTATTGCTATTGCTTTTTATGTTATCTGCAATGCAGTTATCATTATTTTCATGCCTCTAATCTTTGTTGGACCTTGAAGTCAAATAATTAAACAACTCATCTCTCTTCTGTTCGACTTTGGTGTAACCTCTCAGTTTATCTAAACTTCAGCAAATATCTGATAATTGGGTCCATGAAGGCCTACAGATTCTCTTTGGCAGCCAAAACTAAAGTCCTATGCACTTTGTAGTTTGATTTATATTGTTCTGTATTCCACAGATTGACAATGATTATCTTATAGCTGTGCGTGATTCTAGTCAAAATACAATCTTGTAGTTATAAGGTTCTGGCCTTCCATTCTCGCCTTTAAGTTACCAAATCTGCAAACTAGAAGATTATTGCTGAATTTGTACTCCCTTAAATATTGGCAAAATAATTCCTGCCTGTGCAGACAGATAGAGCTGCCATGCTTGATGAAATTGTCGACTATGTGAAGTTCCTACGACTCCAAGTGAAGGTAAATAACCCTAAAGTCTGTTCTGGAATTCATTATCCTTTATTTGGCTTGCCACCATATACTGTAACCTTCAGACATAAAAAGTGATATTAGTTTTCTTTGCTTACCACATGTGCTTTACTAGTTCTCTATATGCCCATCTCCATATGTTTGCACATTGTTAAAGCATCACTGAAAATTCCATAAATACCCAATCATTGATCTGCCCGAACTTGTCCCAAACTTTTTCTGCGTTCCTAGATGTTTTGTTTAAAATCATGTAGTGGTGGAGTTTGATAATGGTATCCTGTTATTGTCACAGGATAATACACTTATATGTTGAACAACTACAAGAGCCTGTGAAGTTACAAATTAAATTTATAATTGAACTTCTACAATTATGTCAGTTGTGAATCCAAATGGATAACCCTAATTTTTATTAGGAGACAACATTATTCACAAGGTCCACATTAGGGCACTGTCCAAACCATTCAGCGTCTGATATATTTTTAAATTGTTTTGAATTAGATACACCTTTATTTTATCTACCTTTAATTTGTGCTTTGTAGGTTTTAAGCATGAGTAGATTGGGCGGAGCCGCTGCCGTGGCCCCTCTTGTAACGGACATTCCAATATCCTCCCTGGAGGTAACAATAGACAAGGCTTGAGAAATATTTTTGCTTTCTTTTTCCTTTATCCTAAATTCTCTCTCTCTCTCTCTCTCTCGTTGCGTACTTTAGGAGGAAGCTGGTGAAGGTGGGAGGAACCAACCAACCTGGGAGAAGTGGTCAAATGACGGTACAGAACGACAGGTAGCGAAGCTCATGGAGGAAAATGTGGGGGCTGCTATGCAGTTCCTTCAGTCCAAGGCACTTTGCATCATGCCCATCTCACTTGCCTCGGCAATCTACCACACACAACCACCGGAAGCCACTACGGTTGTCAAATCCGAGGCACATCCCCCTTCATAAAACCTTAAAAAGGGCACATATGGCATGGTCTCCCTAGTGTTCTCATTCAGTCCCCACCCTTAACTACACCTAGTTCAAACCCTAGCAAATCAGCTTGGTTACACTTTAGTTTGCAATCAACGTCAGATGCCACCATGCTTCCACCACCTTTTGCCTTTCATTTCAGCTATTTTATCAAAAGAGGATTTGATGTTAATGTTTAAAAAATAATGCTACTGGACCCACCATGTCTTTACCAAATTCAAATAGAGGGTGGGAATTGTCAAAAACTTTATTTTTTCTTTCTATAAATAAATGATGTGCTCTGCCTTTTTTTTTTTGTGCATCAATGGTGAGTGGGAGTAATTGGTGGATAACGGGAGCACTTTTGTAGTGGGGGTTGTCATTTTTTTGGTAGTGGGGATTGGGGGGACCCTTGAAAAGGGGATGGAGTAGTATATTTGGTAATAATGTAAAAATTGTAATAATGTATTATTTGACAAAGCAAATGGATTGCAGTGTTAGAATGGATAATAGTTGGTGGGGTCGTCCAGGAGCAACCATTAGTGCAACTGGGTCTCTTTATGGGGGTGGGGTTGGTTTCTAAAAGATGTTTTGACACAATTTCAACCTCTCCTTACTTTTCACTAGTTAAAGTATGAAAGAATATACTCTTTATTTAACTTAGTTATTTTAACTATTGTATTTTTTAACAACACTTTATTTCAGGTAATTATTCAAACTAAATTAATTTTTAAAACAAAAAAATACTAATTGTTGATATTTTATTAATGTAAAATTACAATAATAATAAATTTGTCCATACAAACATACAAGACTTGTAGAATGAGGAGAAAAAAAAATACAAAATATAAAATAAGTTATTTCGTAATTCATGAAACAGTATTAAAAGAAGATACATATATAAAATATATAAAATCTCAAATTCAAGACATAAATATATAAAAATACAAGGTGTATACATACATATTTGTTTGCAGAGCTTCTAGGGCTCTTCAATTGTAGCCAACGAAAAAGGTAAGATGGTAAAGTAACCAACCCAATAGCTAGCCCATTGGAGGCCCAAAATTAGAGTTATATTGACTAAAATGCCTAAAAAGCCTTTTTTAGGTATCTCTTTGGAAATGCTCGCCACGTCTTCCAGGACCGGAATGATTCTCCTTGCCCGACAAGTCTACATCCATCCCTAAATGTCATTTGGTATTGTTAACTTCCCCGCCATTCTTGTAACTATCACCTGTAATCCGCACAGGTGTCCGCACCCTCCTGAGTGAACGAGAAAGAAAGGATTTCTTGGAACAACCCCCTAGGTTCCAGACTCAGGAGTCAACTTTTCTGTATGAGCATTCGGTACATGTATCCGTCTGTGGAAGAGTGAAAGGGTCACAACTACCGAAGATCTCTTCCCTAATCTTAAATTAGGTCGTTTGAGGGTTCGCGGCGGTTCATTGTTGCGCTTACACACATTACTGTCGGAGGGTATATCATTGGAGAGATATAGCCATAAGATGTATTTTGTTAAATGTCTTGTTAGTTGAAAACAGTTCTACATATAGAAAAAAAAAAAAAAAGAAAAAGAACCGGATCACTGAAAAATATACAATCATTTTAATGCTTTATTAACAATGGGCTTTTTTTTTTTCTCTTTTTTTTTTTGTGATAATTAGAAATGGTTTAAGCGTATTAACAAAACATGAAGGAACTTTGAGTTTTTGAATTGTTTGTTTTCCCTATTCTTGTGTTCCATTGATTTTTTATTTTTTTATTTCAATAATTTATCTATTTAGATGCAGTTGACTTACACGCATCTAAAAAGCAAATATTTATAAAAAAAATGCTTCATATCACTAATTTAACACCACTAATGATGTGACATCATGTGAACCCCACCACTGATGTAATAGTTTAGCCTTTGTTTTGTTTTTTTTTTTTTTTTTTTACATTGCCACCTCATTAGTGGTTTTGTTAGAGCTTCAAATTTAATACTCTAAATCACCTCTTTATAAAAATATATTTTCCAAAAATAAAACAAAAAATAGGTTTTTTTTTTTGTATTTATAAAATTTTTTAGATATCTCAAAAAAATAATTTACTTATTAGACTAAAATTATAACTTTTTTTTTTAAACTAAAGGACGGTAAAATATGAAAAACAAAAAACTCTTACCTTTTGATTGAGAGATTTAAGAAAAAATTTAGAAGAAAAAAAAAATAGATAAAATATAAATAAAATATATTAATATTTCATTTAATTTCACACACTTTTTACTTTTCATTTTCTAAAACCCTTCCCAAATAAAGATGATCTTAATCTGTAAAAATCAAAATGACTGCAACATTTAGAACTTCGAACTCCACTTCTTCCTAACCAGAACAAGTGTGTTTATTCTCAAAAAGAAAGAAAGGAAGAGCGAGTGTGTTTTTCATGCTCGCCACTTTCAACTACAAACTGAAAACCTCATGACCAGAGAGAGCCAATGACCATCCCACATACCAAGATTATATCCACTTGAATCATCCAAAAAATCAATGACCATTTTAACAGGTCAATAACAGTATACAACTTGGGTGCCCCAGAACATTTGAGCTTGAATTATTGGAAATAAAATTTATCAAAAATTTGACATTAGCAAGCATCCAAATCCCGACAAGGGGGAGCCTTGGGCTCACCAAACAATGTAGTATTCCCCCCTTCTGGTCCACAGTTAATGCGCTTTGGGTTTTGGGTGCCACGCTGAAATGTAAATAATAAATCAGACAATAAGGCTACAATATCTCCAATCAAACAACAAAATCAATTCACCCAATTCAGTTGCCTTACCGGTGGCTTCTCCCCTCTTCTTAACAGCTCCACTATCTCAACAACTCGCTCTGGAGTTGCATCTTCCTATATGTTAACAAAAAAGACTCAAAAAAATTTGAAAAGCTTCCAACTATTTGGGTACAGAAGTACCCAAATTTGGCAAAACAGAAAGGGTCATATGTACTCACATAGTAATTGTAGGTATATCCCTCAGATCCATTGGAGTAGTCAGCAACTGTAATCATAGGAGCATTTACACAACATCCCTGCAGAAAACAAATAACATATATTCCACCAAGCAATCCTCATTATGGATCAATCGATATGTGCCAAACTGATTAAATCAAATCAAACTGGCAAAAAGCATCTTAAAGACATGTTATCGAGAACCAATCAATATGTGCCAAACTGGTTAAATCGAATCAAAATGGCATCTTAAAGACATGTTATCCTCTTTATTGCATTTTGGACGATGGGATGTCAAGAGAAAGCAATAGCATGTGGTAAAAAATGATATGAATCTAATTAATTTAACTGAGCATATATAACTTTAGATAGGGCAAAATGGCAAAAGAAGATTCACGTAGCTAAGCCCACTAAAATGAGACACAAGGCTTAGTTTGGTTTGGTTTAGACTAGATCATTCATTTTACACAAAATCACGGGATTTCCAGACCAAAACATATTTCCTTCAAAGCTATTGACAACCCAATTCCTATCATCAGACAAACAAAACCAGTGTTCGGAGTTAAGACCATCAAAAAATGTAGGTCAAGAGACCAGCGAGCAAGTTGAGTTCAAAAAAAAAAATTTGATGAATATAGACTGATATGAAAAAAAAAAAAAAAAGAGTGAGTAATAAAATACTAACCATGCATTCCATTTCTCCAACAGAAAACATGCCATCCTTTGTTACTTCTGCACATCCAAAGTAATATAGACTGATATGAAATTTAGATTCCACTTCCACAATCTTCCATGAGGATTTTGTAAAATGTAAAATCAGAGAAAAAATGATAATTGATGAATATATTTGTGCTTGTAAAAGACTAACCATTGCGTTTCACCCCTAAGTGTTTCAGTAAGGCATCTTCAATTTCACGTGAACCACGAATCATACAAGGTGTTGTGCCACAAACCAAAAGGTGGTATTTTCCTACCTGCAGAATCCATAGAAGAAACTCATGCAGATAGTTAAGATAAACAAGTTTTCAAGACACTAGTATTAAATGAGATATATTCACAAGAGGGGCAAAAAATTAGAACAACTTTCTCACCTTTGATCGGTTGAACATTGAATAGAACGTTGCAACCTCATACACACGGATAGGAGCAACTTCTATAACCTTAGCCACCTGTACTATTCACACAGTGAATGACAATGCTGTAATTTAACAAATTGGACAAGACATTTGAACAGTAAAAAAAACCTCATGCTAGTTCCTAGTTTTGCCTCTTTTTTTTTTTTCATTGTTTCCCCTTTCCCTAGCACTGGTCGCTATTTTTCAAAGAAAGACACCCGATGATAATCAAGCAAACAACCTAGAATTCTTCAAGGTTGGGCTATAAGTCCCACGGTGACAGCAACTAAGTCAAAAGAAAAGATACAGAAATACAGCATGGCACACGTATTGTAGGGAAGAAATAAGAACATATATGAACACATAAAAATATGTATTACATATGAAGGTAATGTATGCACATATTTAAAAAGACAGACATCAAAGCAGTAACTGTTTGCAAAAAATATATACACAAGTTAATGCAAATGATCCTCTTCACACTATCAACTGATCTATCTTGTAATATAAATATATCCACGATAAAATTGAAGGCTATCACAGACACAAACATTTTTTCTTAATTTACTTATTTATTTATTTATAAATATTATCATAGACATAGAGTTGAACCGAATTTCACACAATTTAGCCTTAATATATCTCAATTTTTCTTTACGAAATAGTTCAAGTATCTGTTTTTACTTGTCAAAGAAAATAGCTATTTTTTCATAAAAATCTCTCCTTTTTTTTTCATACTATTTATATTCTAAAAAACTTGCATCTCACGTTCATCACATGTTGGACAGGTGATTAAAAGGCATAGAACATGCATTCAAACTTAATTATATTTATTTCCAAAATTTGGACAAGCATTGGAACTATGAAATACAAGTACCATGCCAAAAAAGCCTACAGCTCAAAGTATTCATGTATTATAAATTTTGACTATTATATTAAAGGAAATGATATTTATCCACTCCTCTTCAAAGCCTCTCAAACTCCTTTTTGTCTTTTAGCTTCTCACAAGGGGAGTGTGAGGAGCAGCTTTGAGCATTACTCTTCCGGCATAACATTATTGGCATTCATCAAACATCATAAAAGTTGAGTAACAAGAATTTTGTATCAGTAAACTGAATATTTGGCACTGAAGAATTTCAGTGAGAAAACCACCGTCTAATAAAAACATGTTCTGCACCTAGTCAGAAATCAGATTTCTCTAACATAGAATTCATACCACATTTGGGTGTTCAAATGCAAATTAAACATCATCCTTACATGCCAACACCAAAAAAAGAATGAGAGCAGAGCGAAGAAACGTGAGAGAGTGAGAAAGCGAGAGAGAAGTGAGAGAGACAACAAGGATACATCAATTTGACAAATTCTATTACTTTAACTCTCACTATATTCCTCTTATCTAAGAACAAAACAAAATATTATAAGTAATATGTAACTTCGAGTATCCGATACTTCAAAATTAAGTATCCGATACTTCAAAATTAATAAAAAATTAAATAAGAAGTATCTGATACTTTTAAGAAGTATCCGATACGTATCCGCGAGTATTCGAGGAGTATCGGTATCTGATAAGTATCCGATACGGATACGTCACCCTTTTTGAAGTATCCGTGCTTCATAGGTGTTCAATTAAGAAAACCACCGTCTAATAAAAACATGTTCTGCACCTAGTCAGAAATCAGATTTCTCTAACATAGAATTCAGACCACATTTGGGTGGATTCTACTCGGTAGTCAATTGTGATGAACCACCAGAAATTTGCAGTTTTAGATGTGATTACCAAGATCCCCACAAAAATTGAGTATCTGAAAGGGATTCAACTTTCTAGTTTTCTACAGTAATGAAATGGTTTGGAAGGGAAGGCAGAGGGAAAAAAAGCAAGGTATCCCAAGATCTCTTAAGCCTCTTGGAATTCATGAACCATATAGATATTTTCTTTGGATCCCTTGAGGGTATGGAAACAAGAGTGAAGTCAAGGTGACTAACCATGGGAAAATATAATTAGATGAGCAATATATTTGAACTTACCATATCTATACAAAGATTGTCAAGAGCTCATTCAAAGCCAAGAACTTTTGGCCATAGAAATGTGCTGCACAATGATTTGATTGTGAAAATAACTTAACAGACCCCAAAAAAATTCAATAATCATTTGATTCAACTAAGCAATTGCGAGTCACAGAAAGAAAATACATGAATGAATCACTGAATACCCGACTTGTAAGAGCAACCAAAATAACATTTAACACTAAATCAATATTCTGAACTAGGTAGAAGCATTTCAAACAAATTACTACAGTTTAGGTACTCAACAAAGTTAATAACCACGAATGATAAAACACATTGATCAAGTTCCTAATATCATGTGTTACATGTTCAACAAATTCTGATGCAAAAAACCTCAGTAATTCATGTGTGTGTGTATTTACGAATTCAAAAGAAAATAACTTGCTAGAAATCGAATGCAGATTCTAGAAACATACTGCATTCATTGCTGAAACAGGAAGCCAGCCCCCATGCTGCTGTTGTGCAAGATCTAGCAGAGGAATGACTGCAGATTGCTTGTAGTTGGATGGATAGTGAGATATTATCTCCTTTACCTTCACATATAGAACAAAATGGCAAGCATCAGAGTTCAAGATTGAAAAGCATGACATCTGTTAATCACTATGGGACAAAAAAGAAAAAAAAGAAAAAGAAAAGGCCCAATTAGTACACATTAATGTGTGTTTGGGAGGAGAAATATTGGGTACACACTTAACCTTTGGCATAGTGCACAAAGTGGTTGCCCCATGACTTGAACCCATAACCTCAAGGTTATTAGGCCAATGCTTTACCATTGAACCAATATGTTAAAAAAAACACGCTTTAAGGATGTGGAAACTCATCCTCAGAGAGAGCAAGTAAATAAGCATGATTTCATCCCTCCTTCCCAGCAAGGTTTACTTTGCCAACAATTAACTAAAATTAGGAAGAGAAAGTGACTTTCAACCACAGTATCAACATACAATCCTCCAAGCCAACTACAGACTAGCTTACACCTTTAAATGCAATACCAAGAGGAAATTACTCTGGTGTATATTTAACATAATGACAGAGCAATAAAAAATTGCAGATTCAGTCAGCTTAATTCAACAAACAGCAGTGATTTAGACCCCTTCAAACTTTAACCCCCACCACTCCCACACACACGAAGAAAAAGAAAAAGTGACCAATCAAAAAAGAAAGGGGGTCAAAAGGGGGTGGGGGAAAGGGGGTCCCAATCTTTATTCTTCAACAAAATAGCTATAATCCCACTTGGAAGGCAAACTCCCAAACTTAATGCCATCATTTTTTCTTGATTCCCACTTGAAAGGCACACTCCAGAAAAAAAAAAAAAAAAAAAAAAGGTTTAAATGTTGAGTTTTGCTAATTTGCTGAAGTTTGTTAGGAGTTTGACATAGGAAAAAAATTTACTCTCAATTAGGAAATTTTGCCCATGGTTGGAAAAGTTGCCAAAACATAAATAAGTGATTTTATACAGTTGGGCTAAGAATCACTCAAGGCCATATTTGATTGGGGGTTTGGGGAGGGGGTTTGTTGGATTAATAATCCTGGATCTCACCTAGCCCATGTTTGTTTGCAGAAAAATAGCACGCGATTGGCAATCTAATGGGACTATGAATCCCCCCAATGGTGGGATTAGCATTCCCATGGGGGATGGGATAGCTATGTATTGGTGGTTAAAAGATCATTTTACCCTCCATTTTACAAAGCCAACAAGTTACATTTTATTTGATAATGGCTTTTACATAATTTTGTAAATTTAATCCCAATTAACTAATACCATCACACTAGTACACAAACAAACACATTTGATCTTCCATCTCATCTCCAACCTAAAATCACCACACTAATAATCCTATCACTCAATCTCACCATACTCATAATTCCACCCAACCCAATCTGCCAAGTAAACATGGCTCAAAAGTTGAAAACTAGAACATGCACGTGCACGTGCATACACACGAAAACACTCAACTCAACACACCAGTTCAGATAACCAAATTACATTGTCAATCTCACTAAGTATGATATACAATGTGCCTTTTGAATGGCCCATCTTAATAGGGATACATCTCCGTGTTCTGAAAAAAAATGGACTCGACTCAGGTGAAAAAAAAAAAAAAATTTCTCATCACAACTTGTATATTTCTATATTATTCACAGCACAAGCAAAAAGGAATCATCATATTCAGCCATTAGAAGTAAATAAACATAACTGTGATTGAATAAGCAAAGTTGTTTGATAATTTGGAGTTGTTAAACATCATTTGTTTACCTTAGCTTTGTTAGCATCAGTGAATTCCCATGGAAGGTCGGGATTGTTATCGGGACTATCAAGGTGCTGCAACAAACAAACCACATTCCACAATCAAATTAAACGATTACTCCAAACCTAAAATACACGTACATAGATTGGGATCATGAGTATCGATAAAAGCTAAGCTTCGATTTTTCTTACGTAGTTTAGGGCAGTCGAAAGGGATCGAGAAGTCTGCAGAGATTGGAAAAAGAAAGAAAGAAATGAGATTCGAAATCAGACAGTGGTTAATATGGCACGAAATGCGAGAAAATTGAGGAAAATTAGAAGGAAACCTGTGGAATTTGCCGAAAAGCTTGACGGATCTCGAGTAGACGTTGAGTCGCCAAACGAGCAAGCATTTTCGTTCCGATGATGATGATGTATTGGTTGCTGTGGAGCGAAGATCAGACACGTAAAAGGGGGAGATTTGGGGCTCGGAGATGGGGAGGGTGAATAGAGAGAGTCCGCTGTGTGACTGAGGTGAGTGGTTCTAAAGTTCACGGCAGTGCGTAGAACGCACACCAAGTTTTTTTGGGATTTTGTACTTGGTACGTGTGCTTTCCACAGGATGTAAACTGGGCCATGAGAATTACTGGGCTTTGATGTATCAGAAGCTTATTTGTTCTATAATAAATAAACAAATCAAAAATAAAGATTTGGAATAGAAAAAAGCGAGTGAAAGGGGTAAATTGATTAAGATTGTGTTTGGTTTGTGAATTTAAATTCCACACACTTTTTTTTTTCTTTTCAAATCTTTTCCTAAATTCATAAAACCAAACACAACTTAAAAGAAATAATTTTCAAATTATTGAAATGATTTCATATTAAGAAAAAATAAATTAAAAATGTAGTAAAAATTGTGTAGATCATTCCAGAGAATTTTTCTACTTTAAAACTAAGGTTCCGTTTATTTTGACGTTGTTTCGTTGAACAAAAGTAAGTAAAACATTTTTTAAGAAAAATATTTTTGCATTTCTTTTTCAAAAATGACTCGCCTTTAAAAATTTTGTAAGTCAATTTTACTCTCACTCATTACCTTTTCAACACATTTAACATTTTCAAATAAGTATTTAGCTTACTAAAAAGTCATAAATAATATTTTATTGAATTAAAATTTCTCCTTTAGACAATAAAATATTTTTGTTTAAAGCGTCAAACAAATGTCCAAAAACAAAAACATTTTTATTGTGTAAAATCAATTTATAAGAAAATTATTTTTGTGTGTAAAATATTCTACGTCAAAATAAAAGGAGTCTAAGTGGGTGTTTGGGAAGTGAGTTTTTATGTAGTTTTTTTAGTTGTATGATATTATTGGAGAAAATTTTTTTTGTGTTTGGGGAGATGGTTAGATTTTTTTGTGGTTGGATGTGATATTTTGTTTGGATGTGTTTTTTTTTATTTTGCAAAAAGTTTGTCTTTTTGTGAAAAAAATAAAAAAAAACCCAAGATCAAGACTTCCCAAACACCACCTAAGAAAAAATTGATTTAATAAAAATAATTTTTAAAGTGTATATGTGAAAAGAAAACTCTGTTTTTTATTTTATTTTATAGTTAAAATCAGTAATTTGAGAAAGCATATGGTTAGTTGGAATACACGGTACCATATCAAAAGCTTCGCTTGTTTCTTTTATTGTACACCGACCTAAGATAAAGCTGAGGGGGTGGGGATTAACCAAACCCATTGAGCATGTTTGTATTGAGGGATAAAGGTGTGGAATTAGACTATTAGTCCTAATAGTCCATTGTTTGTTTGTAAAATTTTACTCCGGATTAATAGTCTCCCTGGACTATTAGTTCCACAAATATGGGACTATTTTATCCCATAGGGGTGTGGGATAGAAACCATGGAATTGATATCCCATGGGATTATTTGGTGAAATGTCCATTTTACCCTCCATGCTATTACTTAGTAAACAATTAGAAAGGGTAAAATAGTCTTTTGAACATTTATAAATTATTTTTTTGGTGTTGTTAATTTAAAATTATATATTAAATAAAAAAATTAAATTATAAATTATAAATTATAAATTAAATTTAATTAAAAATAATAAATTAAAAATTATGGCCTTATAAATTAATTTTTTTTAGTGTAGTTAAAAAATTAAATTTACATATTTCTTTAAAATTATTTTTTTAGTGTTGTTAATTTAAAATTATATATTAAATAAAAAAATTAAATTATAAATTATAAATTAAATTTAATTAAAAATAATAAATTAAAAATTATGGCCTTATAAATTAATTTTTTTTAGTGTTGTTAAAAAATTAAATTTACATATTAAATAAAATTATTTTTTTAGTGTTGTTAATTTAAAATTATATATTAAATAAAAAATATAAATTATAAATTATAAATTAAATTTATTTAAAAATAATAAATTATAAATTAAATTAGATCTATACATATGATAACGTGAATCACAATCTTATATGGATAAGATAAGGATAAAACTTGTAATATGGTCTTTTGAACATTTATCCTTATTCAGTCCGTCTAACCAAACATTGGATTCATTAAAAATAGTCCAATCCAGACATCTAATCCCATGACTAAACAAACATAGGATACAAATACAGTCCAATCAAATAGTCCGGGGACAATGTATCCAAAGACTAATAGTCCGATGGATTACAATCCCCCCTTATCCAGTTCGTCTAAACAAACGCACCCATTGGGTATTCACCAACCAATGCTACAACCAATCCGTGGAGAAATTTTTTTGGAGAAAAACTGCTCCTGTATGAGCGGGTCGGTGTGGGTCCCCATCAAGTCGGAGTACCATTGCCATCTCTATTCATGAATGTGGGCTTCATTGTTTTTATTTTGTGTCTAAGAGTGAGAAAATAAAGTAAGAAATAAGATTATATATAGTATTGCTTGTAATAAATTAATCAAAATGAGTGCAATGTTAAGAATTTAAAACACCACCTCTTTCCAAGAAGAACTAGTGTGTTTTCATGTTCACCACAAGCAACTGTCATTACACGGTGTTTATGAAGTCTATAGATATCACCATCAAGGTCAACCACAAACTCATTGAATGACTCATAACCTCTCAGAGGTAATGACCATATTACTAATATCATATCCACTAGCATCATCCAAAAAAATGGAAAGAAGCATTTTTAACAGGTCAACTTAAGAGCCCCGGAACATCTGAGTTTGAATTATTGGAAATAAAATTTACCAAAAATTTGACATTAGCAAGCATCCGGATCTCGACAAGGGGGAGCCTTGGACTCACCTAACAATGTAGTATTCCCCCCTTCTGGTCCGCAATTTGTGCGCTTAGGGTTTTGTGAGCCACGCTGAAATGTAAACGCAAAATCAGACAATAAGGCTACAATAACACCAATCAAATGGTAAAATAATCCAACTAGTCTAGTTGCCTTACCGGAGGCTTCTCCTCTCTTCTTAACATCTTGACAATCTCAACAACTTGCTCTGGAGTTGCATCTTCCTACATGTTAATGCAAGAGACACCCATAAGTTTTTTGAAAAGCTTCTGTGTGGGTGTTTTTCTGACCACACTGCCCGCCTAGTAATCAGCTGGAGAGCACCGGCAAAATAGATGGCTTCAGCAAACCTGTAACAGAAAGAAAAGGCCCCGGCAGTGGCTCTTCCACCCGGGGGCACTCCGACGATCAAGTCAGTATATCTCTCAAAGATAATCAAGTGCTAAACTCACTACTCAAAGCATAAAACTACGTACCTTAGACCCATGGGGGTGCCTCTCTTTTATAGTTTACTCAATCCTAGTCCTACTAGAAGCCTGACTTCTATGGACTCCCATTCAGTGCTTACTTTGGATTTCTCAAGAGATAAAGATAAACTCCCTAAGAGCTTTATCCTTATCTTAGCAAAGTATTCTCTTTACTCTAGGACTCTTGCCCCTTACCCATTATCCGCTTATCTCGGATTCCGATATCTTCAGAGATAACCTCAGCCTTGCCGAGATAACCTCGGCGTCACAACCAGAACACGTGGCACTTCGGCCAAGACTTCGGCGTCATCTTGCCACGTGTTGGTATTCAGAAAATACATCCCCACAACTGCCCCCTAGGTTCTATTATCTTGTTTTCAGTGATAATACTGTGCTTAGTATATAAGACCTCTGTTTTAGTTATGGGTTTTAGGCTTTCTTTGTATACATCCTGTATACAGAGGTTGCACCACTCTTGGTGCCACCTTTAAATAAAATTTAGTTATAAAAAAACAATACTGCGCTTAGAAGTAAAAATATTATATATTTTGTTATTCTGTGTATGAGATTATTTTGTTCTCAACTAAAATCTTTTGATTAATCTTCTTGACCTTTTTATATGTGATGCTTTACTTCAATTTGTGCTCCGGGTAAGCATCTTTTGAGAATTATGTGCATAATGCATATATTTAACTATGACTAAAAATAGACATGCCAAAGGCTTTGCCTTTATAGATTTAGGTTTGGGATTTGTCTATAGAACCTATCAATTCTTAGGAAAAACTGAAACAATCCTTACCAGCATATACCTAGGGTTTTGCTGAGGTCCCGATAACCCCTTAAGAGCATCTTCTTTCTGAAACCTAGCCCTCTGATTTTAGGCCGACGTTATGGGTATGTGGAGGCACAGGGTAGATACCCCGACCAAACTTGAGTACTTTAGGCTGGAGTTCTCCGTCCCTGCCGATGTCCACCTGAGACTAGCTAGGGATGGCGACTCCGTCATGCCTACAGAAAATGTCATGCCCCTTCCCATTGTAGCTTTTACTGAATGTGGACTTCGGCTCCCACTCAACATCCTTTTTCGCGAGATTCTTCATTATTACAAGTTAAACCCCATGCAACTGGCAATCAACTCTTATCGAGTGATTTTTTGGTATTATCGCCTTAAGCCGAGGTCCACTGAATTCAAAATCGTAGCCGACCTTCCAGACTCTAACAAGGGGGCTGGAGATGATTATGTTATTGCTTCGGGAAATTAGGAGTTTGGCACAGACGAAGACGCCCATCTCTACTCTCTTCCCCGATCAGTTAAAGAGGGCAAGGGTAAGAGCCCAGTGTCAATACTTAGTTGTTTCTGTTCAAATCTTCAATATTTTATCTATTTCTAATGTCTGTTTCTTCTTGCAGACGTTCGCAAGCCAACGAAAAACTTCCGCCAATCTTACGTTCCCAGTAAGGACCTGAAAAAACTCCTGGACTTGCCAGTTCACAAGAGAAAAGCACCTCTTCTTCTCAACTTTATTCTTACATACAAATCGATTTTGCCCGACGTCCCCAAAAGAAAGAAGAAAAGTCTTTCTCCTCCTACTGCCATAACTCAAACCGCTTCTACATCACGAACAAATCAAGAGTCAACATCTGACCCAACCAATCAACCATCTACATCTGCTCCATACTTGGTCCCAATACAAGAACGAAAATGTTGGCGAAGACTTGTCAAAACTGCTGAGATGGGTCGCCCAAAGCCCGTTGCTCAAGACCTTCTTGCCGATCTCCCTGTCGACGTCGATGCTCAGCCGACGCAAACCATGCCCCACCAAAGCCGAAACGAACCAAGAAAGCCCAGCCAAAGGCTAAAGCCACTGAAGTTGAGGTTGAGGATAACCTGACAGTTTCACAATTGGCAGGGAATGAGAAGACGTCTTCCGTCCCCAAAAAAAGGTCTGCTGAGACACAGCCATCAGAGTCTACACAATCAAAGAAACCGAGGTCATCGTCTGCGACAACCTCGGGTTCCAAAATACCAAGAGTCCCTTGGGTACCTGAAATCATCCTAGAAGATAAGCCTGTTCTAGCCTGTGACAATGCCGATGACATCAATGTCGGCGTGGCACTCAGTACTGCTGTTCTCCTTCCTGGCGATCTTGAGCGGAATGCCAAGATGAACGAGTACGAGAACTATGCCCTCATGCTCCAACGTTCTGTACAAGTAAGTTCCCCCATTTGGCAACTTGTCTTTCTGCCTCTTTTTCTATACTTGTAAAGTTTGTGTAATAACTTTTTCCTTGAGTTCTTTCAGGCCATTCAACATGCCCATTATCTCTCCATGAAAGCTTTTGAAACAAAGGAGAAGTTGGCCGATATGAGGCGGGAGGTTTCTGCCCTAAAAAAGGAAAACAAAACTTTCTTGACAAAGATGAAGAAGCTTGAAGACCAGGCTGAGGCTGCCACCAAAGCCCAAACCCTAGCTGAAGAAAAGGCCGAATCTGCCGAGGCTATTAAGAAAGTCGCCGAAGCCGAGAAGAGAGAGGCCGAGGACAAAAAGGCCCAAGCCGAAAAGGAACTTCAAGAGGCCTTATCTACTAAAGACGCCGAAATCAAAGCGGCCGACGAAAAGGCCTATGCACAAGGAATGGCCGACGTTACAGAGGAATACAAATTACAAGTTAGGCAGGCGTGCAACAGGGGCTTCTCCCTTGGTTGGGTGGCCCTTGCAAAGAAACTTAATCTTCCTGACAATTCACCATTGCGCCAAGCCGACGCTATTCCTCTTCCATTTCCTCCACCTCCTCCGCCAAGCCAAGCCGAAGATGAATCTGAGTCTGAATCTGAGGATGAGGATAAGGATGATGATGAGGCTTTGGTAAGGAAGCCCAAAGATGCTAGTGAGACCCAGTCCCCTCCTCAGGATGATCAATTCCCAGACTTGACTCATGAGGAGGATGAGGAGGTTATCAAGGAGACCACTCCTGAGCAAGCATCATTTGATGTTCCTCCAGTTGATAGAAGTCTTGATCAAACACTTGCCGAAATTGACGCCGAGTTGGCGGCAGAAAAGATTGCCGAGGTGGTTCCACCAGAATCCTCCGAGGTTTCAGCCCATCCCAGCTGTTGATGCTGAAGGAGCCTGACTCCAATGTCTTTCTTTGTTTGAACTTTTTTACTTTTCTATTTTCTGGACAATGTAAGCTTCCTTTTGTGGCCGATGTGCCTATCTTTGTCACTGCCGAGCAATTTGTTTTTGGTTAGGCCGTAGTGCCTTTTTTGTACACAACTGCAACTGTGTTTTCTCTGAATGCTTTAGTTTTTATTTTCTCTTGATTGCTTCTGCATGGTTCTATACTTAGAACATTTGGCATGCCTTTCATACTTTGCCTCCTTTGTGCAATCTTCTCGGGGTTAAAGACCTGGGGTATAGTAACTACAAGCTTTACTTCGACAAGATACTGACCTGCAAACTTTTCATGAATTTCAACAAGTATATACTATTCAATGCTATCTTTGCAAACATTTCTCAAGTTATAACAGGTGCTAAACAATGATCTACTTGTAAATTGCTACAAATTTCAACAAGTGTTTAAACAATATACTTAGCTTTTATTTCAACATGTAAATTGCTGCAAATTTCAACAGATGATCATATGTCGGCTTAAGGTCATCTTGTGAATTGCTACAAATTTCAACAAGTGTTTAAACAATATACTTAGCTTTTATTTCAACCTGTAAATTGCAGCAAATTTCAACAGATGATCATATGTCGGCTTAAGGTCATCTTGTGAATTGCTACAAATTTCAACAAGTGTTAAGCATCTTCTTTAGGTTTAACCAACCTGTAGATTGCTATAAGGGTTTAAGCAATAACCTCGGCTTCACTTCAACTTATAAATTGCTACAAATTTCAAGAAGTGAAGATAAGGAACCATTTCAGTGTAACTTCAACTTGTAAATTGCTACAAATTTCAACAAGTGAAGATAAAGTATTCCCATGGAAGGTCGGATTGTTATCGGACTATCAAGGTGCTGCCAACAAAAACAAACCACATTCCACAATCAAATTAAACGATTACTCCAAACCTAAAATACACGTACATAGATTGGGATCATGAGTATACGATAAAAGCTAAGCTTCATTTTCTACGTAGTTTAGGGCAAGTCGAAGGGATCGAGAAGTCTGCAGAGATTGGAAAAAGAAAGAAGAAATGAGATTCGAAATCAGTACAGTGGTTAATATGGCACGAAATGCCGAGAAAATTGAGGAAAATTAGAAGAAACCTGTGGAATTTGCCGAAAAGCTGACGGATCTCGAGTAGACGTTGAGTCGCCAAACGAGCAAGCATTTTCGTTCCGATGATGATGATGTATTGGTTGCTGTGGAGCGAAGATCAGACACGTAAAAGGGGGGAGATTTGGGCTCGAGATGGGGAGGGTGAATAGAGAGAGTCCGCTGTGTGACTGAGGTGAGTGGTTCTAAAGTTCACGGCAGTGCGTAGAACGCACACCAAGTTTTTTTGGGATTTTGTACTTGGTACGTGTGCTTTCCACAGATGTAAACTGGGCCATGAGAATTACTGGGCTTGATGTTATCAGAAGCTTTATTTGTTCTATAATAAATAAAACAAATCAAAAATAAAGATTTGGAATAGAAAAAAGCGAGTGAAAGGGATAAATTGATTAAGATGTGTTTTGGTTTGTGAATTTAAAATTTCACACACTTTTTTTTTCTTTTCAAATTTTTTTTTAAATTCATAAAACCAAAACACAACTTAAAGAAATCATTTTTAAATTATTGAAATGATTTCAATTAAGAAAAAATAAATTAAAAATGTAGTAAAATTGTGTAGATCATTCCAGAGAATTTTTCTACTTTAAACTAAGGTTTCGTTTATTTTGACGTTGTTTCGTTGAACAAAAGTAAGTAAAACATTTTTTTAAGAAAAAATATTTTGCATTTCTTTTCAAAAATGACTCGTCTTTAAAAATTTTGTAAGTCAATTTTACTCCACTTCATTACCTTTTCAACACATTTAACATTTTCAAATAAGTATTTAGCTTTACTAAAAAGTCATAAATAATATTTTATTTGAATTAAATTTCTCCTTAGACAATAAAAATTTTTTGTTTTTAAAGCGTCAATCAAATGTCCAAAAACAAAAACATTTTTATTGTGTTAAAATCAATTTATAAGAAAATTATTTTTGTGTGTAAAATATCTACGTCAAAATAAAAGGAGTCTAAGTGGTGTGTTGGGAAGTGAGTTTTTATGTAGTTTTTTTAGTGTATGATATTATTGGAGAAATTTTTTTTGTGTTTGGGAGATGGTTAGATTTTTTTGTGGTTTGGATGTGATATTTTGTTTGGATTGTGTTTTTTTTATTTTGCAAAAAGTTTGTCTTTTGTGAAAAAAATAAAAAAAACCCAAGATCAAGACTTCCCAAACACCACCTAAGAAAAAATTGATTTAATAAAATAATTTTAAAGTGTATATGTTTGAAAAGAAAACTCTGTTTTTTATATTTATTATAGTTAAAATCAGTAATTTGAGAAAGCATATGGGTTAGTTGGGAATACACGTACCATATCAAAAGCTTCGCTTGTTTCTTTTATTGTACACCGACCTAAGATAAAGCTGAGGGGGTGGGGATTAACCAAACCCATTGAGCATGTTGTATTGAGGGATAAAGGTGTGGAATTAGACTATAGTCTAATAGTCATTGTTTGTTTGTAAATTTACTCCGGATTAATAGTCTCCCTGGACTATTAGTTCCACAAATATGGGACTATTTTATCCCATAGGGTGTGGGATAGAAACCATGGAATTGATATCTCCATGGGATTATTTGGTGAAATGTCCATTTTACCCTCCATGCTTTACTTAGAAACAATTAGAAATGATAAAATAGTCTTTTGAACATTTATAAATTATTTTTTTGGTTGTGTTAATTTAAAATTATATATTAAATAAAAAAAATTAAATTATAAATTATAAATTAAATTTAATTAAAAATAATAAATTAAAAATTATGGCCTTATAAATTAATTTTTTTTAGTGTAGTTAAAAATTAAATTACATATTTCTTTAAAAATTATTTTTTTAGTGTTGTTAATTTAAAATTATATATTAAATAAAATTATAAATTATAAATTAAATTTATTTTAAAAATAATAAATTTATAAAATTATGGCCTTATAAATTAAATTTTTTTAGTGTTGTTGAAATTAATTTATATATTAAATAAAATTATTTTTTTATGTCATTAATTTAAAATTATATATTAAATAAAAATATAAAATTATAAATTATAAATTATAAATTAATTTAATTGAAAATAATAAATTAAAAATTATGGCCTTATTAATTAAATTTTTTTAGTGTTGTTAAATTATAAATTATAGATTACAAATTTAAAATTATATATTAAATAAAATTATAAATTACAAGGATAAAATAGTCTTTTGAAATTTATCCTTATCCAGTCCGTCTAACCAAACATTGGATTCATTAAAAATAGTCAATCCAGACATCTAATCGCATGACTAAAACAAACATAGGATACAAATACAGTCCAATCAAATAGTCCAGGGGACAATGTATCCCGGGACTAATAGTCGATGGATTACAATCCCCCCTTATCTAGTTCGTCCAAACAAACGCAACCCATTGGGTATTCACCAACCCAATGCTACAACCAATCCGTGGAGGAATTTTTTGAGAAAAACTGCTCCTGTATGAGCGGGTCGTGTGGGTCCCCATCAAGTCGGAGCACCATTGCCATCTCTATTCATAAATGTGGGCTTCAATGTTTTTATTTTGTGTCTAAGAGTGAGAAAATAAAGTAAGAAATAAGATTATATATAGTATTGCTTGTAATAAATTAATCAAAATGAGTGCAATGTTAAGAATTTAAAACACCACCTCTTTCAACAAGAACTAGTGTGTTTTTCATGTTCACCACAAGCAACTGTTATTACACGTGGTTTATGAAGTCTATAGATATCACCATCAAGGTCAACCCACAAACTCATTGAATGACTCATAACCTCTCAGAGGTAATGACCATATTACTAATATCATATCACTAGCATCATCCAAAAAAATGGGAAAGAAGCATTTTTAACAGGTCAACTTAAGAGCCCGGAACATCTGAGTTTGAATTATTGGAAATAAAATTTACCAAAAATTTGACATTAGCAAGCATCCGGATCTCGACAAGGGGGAGCCTTGGACTCACCTAACAATGTAGTATTCCCCCCTTCTGGTCCGCAATTTGTGCGCTTAGGGTTTTGTGAGCCACGCTGAAATGTAAACGCAAAATCAGACAATAAGGCTACAATAACACCAATCAAATGGTAAAATAATCCAACTAGTCTAGTGCCTTACCCGAGGCTTCTCCTCTCTTCTTAACATCTTGACAATCTCAACAACTTGCTCTGGAGTTGCATCTTCCTACATGTTAATGCAAGAGACACCCATAAGTTTTTGAAAAGCTTCTGTGTGGGTGTTTTTCTGACCACACTGCCCGCCTAGTAATCAGCTGGAGAGCACCGGCAAAATAGATGGCTTCAGCAAACCTGTAACAGAAAGAGAAAGGCGCCGGCAGTGGCTCTTCCACCCGGGGCACTCCGACGATCAAGTCAGTATATCTCTCAAAGATAATCAAGTGCTAAACTCACTACTCAAAGCATAAAACTACGTACCTTAGACCCATGGGGGTGCCTCTCTTTTATAGTTTACTCAATCCTAGTCCTACTAGAAGCCTGACTTCTATGGACTCCCATTCAGTGCTTACTTTGGATTTCTCAAGAGTAAAGATAAACTCCCTAAGAGCTTTATCCTTATCTTTAGCAAAGTATTCTCTTACTCTAGGACTCTCTGCCCCTTACCCATTATCCGCTTATCTGGATTCCGATATCTTCAGAGATATAACCTCAGCCTTGCCGATGATAACCTCGGCGTCACAACCAGAACACGTGGCCTTCGGCCAAGACTCGGCGTCATCTTGCCACGGTTGGTATTCAGAAAATACATCCCCACAACTGCCCCTAGGTTCTATTACCCCTCGGCATTCTGGGGTGATGGAACCTATATCTGTATTTTCTTCCAGCAAATCGGCTTAAGATTTGACAGCCAAGATCATTCATTTCTAGCCGACATGCTTTCCCTAAAAAATCAAAGATTTTTAAGGAACTTTTTACGCGCATGAGTTGTCATGCACTTTAATTTAACCGTTTTAGACACGCGTTTCATCTTTATTGGTCCGTGCCTGTGACGTGCTTGTAAGCCGTCTTAATCTGTCTGCGTCGTCTGACGCATGCGTCTTTCCAAGCGCAGTAAATGCCTTATTTTGCCGCCGTTTCACGTTTTCAACAAAAACACTACTTTTGCCTTCGTCTCTTCACTTTGTGCTTTGATTCACTTTGCTTTTTCTCTCTCTAAGCTCTGTCTCTCGAATCCGTCATTGTTCAAGCTCCAGGCTCTGCAACTTCATTTGTCTTTCTGGTGAGGCTCTCGCTACTTTGTCACTTCTGTAACCGTCGTCTGTCTTCGGCGAACTTCATTCCGGCTTCAATTTCTCTGGTAAGCCACTATTCTTTATGTATTCAGTTCACTGATGTTCTTCTATCTGCTTGCTGCCATTACTGTTCTGTTTAAACTGTTAATTCCGTGAATCATATTTATTATTCACTACTTCTTGCATTTTTGCCACTGTTCTTGGCCCTGTAGTTCTTGTTTTCTTTATGCTTTTGAGAACCCCACTTTTGTTCTTCATTCTGAAACTGCGTTCTTGCCTTCAATTTTTGCTTTTAATCTTTGCCTTCATAGATTTAGGTTTGGGATTTGTCTATAGAACCTATTAATTCTTAGGAAAAAACTGAAACAATCCTTACCAGCATATACCTAGGGCTTCGCCGAGGTCCCGATAACCCCTTAAGAGCATCTTTTTTCTGAAACCTAGCCCTCTGATTTTAGGCCGACGTTATGGGTATGTGGAGGCACAAGGTGGATACCCCGACCAAACTTGAGTACTTTAGGCAAGAGTTCTCTATCCCTGCCGATGTCCACCTGAGACTAGCTAGGGATGGCGACTCCGTCATGCCTACAGAAAATGTCATGCCCCTTCCCATTGTAGCTTTTACTGAATGTGGACTTCGGCTCCCACTCAACATCCTTTTTCGCGAGATTCTTCATTATTACAAGTTAAACCCCATGCAACTGGCAATCAACTCTTATCGAGTGATTTTTTGGTATTATCGCCTTAAGCCGAGGTCCACTGAATTCAAAATCGTAGCCGACCTTCCAGACTCTAACAAGGGGGCTGGAGATGATTATGTTATTGCTTCGGGAAATTAGGAGTTTGGCACAGACGAAGACGCCCTTCTCTACCCTCTTCCCCGATCAGTTAAAGAGGGCAAG